CCACTGTCATTGTCCAGATAGTACACAGATGAGAAAGCATAAATGACAGTCCAAACATATAATACATGTATTTTTGGAACAATAAAACTACCAGTGAACTTCATATATTAAAGTATATATGTATATAAGCTTCTCTAAAGAAGCCCTTTTATTCAAGAGAAAATAATATTTATTTCTATCCTTTCAAGCAACTGCTCTCTGCAGCTTTGACCTTTGAGCTGTTGTTAATAGTGAAGTACTGCCATTTATACTAAACACTGACTGGCTAAATTTCAAATCTTTAAGAACCTTACCCCAGACATGAGCTCTGTCTTGTGGCCACATAGATAATAACCCATGTCATTTATATATCCCCTGTAACCCTGCAATTAGCTGTGGAATTATATTGCAGTAGTCTATTCATATATATAAGCATACTGTCCTTTATCCTTTAACAATCTTTTGATGTGCTAATTTTTATTTTCCCTCAACCACAATGTTTACTGACCAGTGATCACTGATACAGTTGATGGCAATACACTGAGCGTCAAATATTTTGGGACAAAGTCAGAAAAATCTAAGGCCTAGGAATTAATATATTTAGAGAAATGTTATTTCATTTGCCTTTCCCAAAAGCCACCTTCAAGTTCCCTCAAATTATTTTGAAATTGGAGACCCTAGTGAATTATCTATATTGGCTACAAGTGCCCCCAAGATGGGGCCAATTAGCATGTCTTCTGTTTATCTTAGGTATTATTAGGTGATGAAGTTCCAAGCAATTCTTATATTAGGTCTAAAGCCTACCCTCGCCCTGTAAACCAGCAGATACATATCTAATTATCAACTTTATCTACTATCACATTGCAAAGCCGTTAAAAAGTGAAATTCTAAAGATTGTTATTTAATGGGTGCTAGTAAAGTGTACGCGGGGAAATGTATCAGAGCATTCCCTTTAGAGGAGAGGGAAAGCAAATGCAACCTCTCAATTCAGTGTCGGCCACACTGGAGGACAATGCGCTGGCTGGTGGGTGGGGATCTTTGGCCCGAGTAGATGGGCCAAACGGTTCTTATCTGCCATCACATTCTATGTTTCTATGCCATGCCACACTTCTCATGCCTGCCGCCCTGAGGCTGTGGCCTTGTGGCAAATCCAGCCATGAGTGTTATTAGCAAAAATCTGCATGGTTTTATGAAACATAGGTAATGTCAAACTAACTTAATTACATTCTACGAAGAAGTATTGATCAGGGTGTCGCAGTGGACATGATATACTTGAATTTTGTGAAGGCAGTTCCACGCAACAAAAAAATAAATTGGTCTAGATTAAAATTCGTGTTCTTGGGTATAACTTTGTCTTAAAGGTAGATTACAGAGAGTTTTCATTAATGGTATTGTTTCAAAACAAAAGTGTTGTCTCTCTGGGTTCTGTTCAACATATTTATAAATGGTCTTGAAATATGAATTGAAATTAACGTTTTAGTGTTTGCAGATGACACACTACTCTGTAAAGTAATGCAATGTCAGCATGATATTACTTTGCAGCAGAGGGAATTAGATAAACTAGGGCACTGGGTACTCAAAGGTCAGATTAAATTTAATGTAGATAAATGCAAAGTTATGCACTTCAGGGTAAAGAATGTACAAGCAATTTACACCCTACATGGTAGTGAATTAGGGATAACAACATGAGGAGGACTTTGGAATTGTTATAGACAACAAACTAGACAATAATATGCAACGTCAATCGGCAGTTGTAAACACCAGGTATTGTCATGTATAAAAGGAGCCAATAATTCTCAGGAAGGAAATACAATTTTGCCTCTTAATAAATCAATGGTTAAAGGACTACTATAGGCACCCAGACCACTTCATCTAGGGTTAATCCTGCCTGCTGTAAACATAGCAGTTTCAGAGAAACTGCTATGTTTACATATGGGTTAATCCAGCCTCTAGTGGCTGACTCATTGACAGCCGCTAGAGGCATTTCCGCGCTTCTCATTGTGATTTTCACAGAGAGAAGATGCCAGCATCCATAGGAAAGCATTGGGAAATGCTTTCCTATGGACTGACTTAATGCGCGCGCGGCTCTTGCCGCGCATGCGCATTCAGCCAATGACGTTGGAAGGAGGAGGAGAGTCCCCAGTGCCGAGGGAGCCCGGCGCTGGAGAAAGGTAAGATTTTAACCCCTTCCTCCCCCTGGAGCCCGCGGGAGGGGGGCCATGAGGGTGGGGGGACCTATTAGGTTTGTTTTCCTGGCACTATAGTGGTCTTTTAAACCACACATTTAATGTGTTGTGCAGTTTTGGGCACCTATTATAAAGATTGATACTATGGCACAAGAAAAAGTGCAGAGACAGGTTAGAAAATTAATAGAATAAATGCAATGTTTTAGATATGAAGGTTAACAAATTCGAAATCTGTTTAGTTTAGAACAGAGGATATATGATAACATTATGCAAATGTTATGGGGCCAATACAAACCATTGTCTTGAAATCTATTCATAAACAGTATTATACATAAGATACCAAGTCAAGCATTAAGACTAAAAGAAAGGAGATTTAGTCTAAGGCAAAGAAAATGTTTTTTTTACAGTAAGAACAATAGGGATGTGGAATTGGCTGCCTAAAGATGTAGTTTTATCAGAGCCTGTACAGATGTTTAAACAGCAGTTGGACAAATACTTGCAAAAACATACTATTCTGGGATATACTTTTCAATATGTGAGGTAACAGCTTCTTGATCCAGAGAGAGATTTGACTGCCATTCAGGTGTCAAGTAGGATTGGAAATTGGAAAGTGGTTCAAACTATGATTTCTCATTTTGAATCAACAGCAAAAACAGATGTGAGAGGGGCTGAACTTGATGGATGCATGTCTCTTTCCTTTTTTTGTCAATCTCTTTTTTATTTGAGGCATATAATAGTTTATACAAAAACATGACAAAATGAGTTATATCATTAATAGACAAAGCAAGGGTAGAGTTGTTACACACATTATTATACACTCCAGAGAAGACAGCCTCTTTTTTTTAAAGAGTTAAATATGCTAGGTAAATACATGCTATATAAGTAACTGTTAATATGCAAGAACAAGCTGACTAGGCAATTACATCAAAAAGTGTGGTGTAGGCCCTGCTAAAATGAGTATGTTAAGTGCAGTGTTGGCACTGGGCATTTAAGGCCATAACGAGGTAGTGCAGATAAGGCCAGAGCATGACATAAATTTACTGCCTAGAACAAAAATAAATTGAGGTAAAACATGAAAAGTATATAATAGAGATACTGAGCTAAAATAACCACCTTAGCCCGCATACCCTATAAGCAAACTGAAAAATATAAGAAATAAAAGAACAGTGAGCATCAGCAGGGCTTAGGAGACCTGGAACAGCTGGTTGAGGCAGGAAAGTGTCCAGTTATACAGGGAGAAAGTCCGCTTGGGAGCAGAAAGGCCACCCACATAATTAATTTATCCAATACCAAGAATGGGAAATCATAGCAATGGTGCAGTGTGATTGCAGATATCAGCACTAAGCCAGGAGCAAGCCGGGCCACCCCTCCCCCCTGCAGCTCCAGGGCTGAACAAAAGCTGGCATCACTGAGCCACTGACTCGGGTGCTCTTGGAGTCCGAGTCATTCCCTATCGGGAAAAAGCTGAAGGCCTTGATATTCCTTCACCGCTTGCGCGATCGGTTCTCGGCTTGCCTAGTTGATGCACTGGGGTTTTGCATCAACTAGGCAAGCCGAGAACCGATCGCGCATAAGTGGGGAGTAGCAAGCTTCTTTGCCAAGGCTGCGCCCGAGGGTGTCCCACTCAATCTCCAGCCACCGTTTCTCAAGCCACTCACTGGACCTCGAGACAGAGTTGTAGCTTTGCATGCCTCTATGAGTGCCTAGAAGTGGTAGAATATCTCCTCTAACTGCCTCCACATTTGTTTTGTAGAACCATGCTGGGCTGCCCCAGACTTTAATGGCCTATGTTGGAACCTGTGCTTCTGACAATGCTGATGCAGGTGCATCTTTCAGGATTCAGCAGAGGTACGAGGTACAGGCTAGTCGGGACTGGGATAACCCCCACCAGTCAAATGGGGGTGAGGGGTTGAGATCCGTGGAGTGCTTCTATGAGTGTCCAATGCTGTGGTGGAGCGGCTGTGTCTCCTGCCTGATGGCATGGAAGGCCCACTGGAACTGCCGAGACACAAACCCCACAAATTCTCAGTGCATTCAACAGAGGGACACCCCTTTCAGTTCAGGAGACAGGGGTCCGTGAATTTGGCCAGTTGAGAGTACTGGGAGTAGGTATGCACTTTAAATGCCAGAAATATGTGAGGAACTCTCATAAAGTGCGACTGATCTCCATGAGAGTTAGGCTCCGCCCCACATGTCTCTTTTCAGCCTAAGTAACTATGTTACCATTTTCAGTTAAAATCCAATATTCTTTTCTTTGTTGGTTTATTAACCATTTCATTCATAATTAAAGCCAATGAAATGTTTAATTCCAATAAACAAAAAAACTTTTATATTATAATTCCTACATCTGCTGTGGTATACTGGTTCCATATGTTCTGTGTTTATTTATTAATATTCTTTAAATGTTCTAACATTCTTTCTCACCACTCACTAACTCCCACAAGGACACTACATTAGAGATACTTCAAATGCTGCATTACTTGTTACTAATAATTTTATTTGGAATCGTTTCCCCATGATCGTGCTTTAGATATAATATGTTCCACTTTTGTGTATTAATCTTACATCTATGACATTTGTGCAGATATGTGATTGGGTTTGTGCATATTATTTCCACCATCCTTTTTTCTGTTTTTTTGCTGAATTAAAGAAGGCTTTGGGATGATTTGGTCTGTTTATACAATCGGAGATCGAGCTGTGGAGAGACGGCCGCTAACTGACCTGAGCATGGATCCCTCGGGGCTCTCACCTCCTAACCACCCCCGGACCGATGGGGGTCATCTCGGTCCACACTGGGCGACTAGAACAGCCGACACAGTCCGAACTTGCAGCCTGATGAACCGCAACAACGGGGCAGAGGCAATCCCACCACGTGAGTCAAGATATATACCTGAGATGGAGGCTTACAGCGACGTCCAGCAGCGTCTCGATGCAATTTTTGCCCGATTCTGGATCAAGCTCTGGGAGCGTCGGCAAGCACCTCAGGCAAAACTGCAAACCCTACCCTCCAAGGGCGAGCGGAGCCGTGAGTGCAGGGAGAAGAGTGAGGCACCCTCGGGCCTAACAAAGGTACGACCTACCCTTACTCCTCCTTTTGGCCCACCCGGACTGAAAGCCACGCGAATGTGAACCTGACAGCATCGCCCAGAAAAGCAGAGGTCCGCACCCAAACAGTGGCACACAATCAGCCCCTCCGTTACTCCCAAATGAGGAAAAACCCCTGGCATGAGAAGCCAAAGAGGTTGTGGCCAGGAGAGGCAGGCCTCGACAACAGCCCAGGGCTGCAGGGATGCCCTCACCGGCTCCTGGGATACCGCGGCTCCCCACGGACTACCGACAGGCCCAAGCCACCTACCCACAAGGGGTATCAGATGAAACGGACGATCTGACCCAAACATCCAGCACATCTCCAGCTGGGCCATTATGCTGTTATTATGTATTTATTTTGCCTTACGCTTACACATACCCAACTAGATTGTCACACACCACCATGACCACAAACCACAGGGTGCACATACTAAAGCACCAGCGCACAGTGTCTCATTGTCGAGCATTGACAGCCATATTCACACATCTGCCACTTTAAGCAACCGCTAACACACGCTGAGCTACCACGAACCGACAACACACACTACTGATTTTACTCAATGGCTCACTCCAGTGGCATTAAACTCCTGACACACTCTTGCTTACTCAGATGAACACAAAGTATTTATTGGACAACAAAACACTGTGTTCATCGCTCTTGCTAGTTTATTATAAAATGTGCTGAAATATCTCTATAATATGACATGTTCATCCATTGCATTGCATATATGACATGTTCATCCATTGCATTGCATTGTGATATCTTTGCAACTTAAAGCACAACAAAAATACAGAATTATAAAAAAACTGTTAAAGTGTCTCTGCCACTGCATTGAGTGAGCAGATAATTTGTTATCGTGTGTGTGTAAAGCCCCGAATAATGACAGCTTGAGTTTACTATTACTAATAAACAGCGCAATTAAATTGGTTATTTGGGGTTTAGAATGAGGTGTTAATGAACAATTATCACTACTCTACATATTTTTATGGTGACTGAGGCTTACTTTACGAAACACGATAAAGCAAATACTTTTCATAGGATTTATTTTTGCTTGGCCCTTCTGACAACTGAAACAAAATTAATTGAAATATATTAAGTTTATGATAAATTACGAACCATTTGACACATTTAATAGACAACGAAAATAGTAAACTAAAATCAAGCAGATATGAGGATGATAATTACAAGTATCATATTTTAAGCATTTTGTGTAAACACAGGTATACAAAAAGAAAAATACTGGCAGGGTTATCTACTAAAACAAAACCTTTGGAATGAAAAAATTTGAGCCAAGAAAACCCACAAATAAAGATCGCCTAATTTAATAATGTTTCCAGCTACTCTTATTTTGGCCTGCAATTTTCAATTTGATGATTAGTCCCCATTAATTCTCAGATTAGTAAATAGCTCTGAATTTTCTTAGGACATAGCTGAATTTTTGCAGGACTAAGGCACTATATCACTTTTTGTTGTTGCTGTAACATTATGTTCCACATCTACTTTTAGATGTGCCTTATGGACCACCTTCTCTGTATCTCAAAGCACCTGTCTATTTTACTTTGGAAAGCATTCTACAAAATCTGACATTTCTTGCAAGTTTTATTTGCAAATAATGATCCATGGGCCTACAAGAACATCTCATAGCGGTTTGCCAACATTCAACTCCGTGAAGGAATTTAGATCATGTTCTGCTTCCAATGTCTAAGTTTTGCTGTGAAACATAGTCCTAAGATGTTTATGAGCTCTGTAAAATTAATCCCAACTGGAACATGGTTTTGGTATCTGTTTGTGATTTAGAACAAAGAGTACTATCAGTTATATATATGCCACATCTGCTTGATTTATATCTTTAACTTTTAAGCTTGTTCAGTTAAGGTCTCCTCTGCCCTAATGCCAGCTACGTAATATGTGCTCTGCAGGAGGGGACATTATTTGAGTCAGAACAAATGGGTTTAAGCAACTTCTGATTCTTTTTTACTGGGTTTGAGTTGTTTCCCATGCAAAACCAATTCCAATCATGTAGTTAAAATATACTCTTGACACACCTGATAAGAGACAGCAGTAGAAACTATGCATGTGTTTAATAATTATATAATCCTGGAAGAATTTTAAGTTGTGTTCTGTATTGATTCACAATGTGTGTGTCACTCTACGTTAGCTTACGTATACTTACACACCAGAATTTTTATATAACTTTATTTTTATTATACACATTAACAGAACATAGACAAACACACACGGGAGAGTTTTCAGATATTTATGTAGAATGTATAAAGGGAATGAGATAAGCATTATATAAATGCAAATACCTGTAGCAAAGATGTATCTGAGTTTAAATATGTAAAGATGTGTCAAAGACATTTTCGGAGACATCTTCCATGCTATGACAGTGTCAGGGCTCAGGGCCGGACTGGGGATACAAAGCAGCCCTGGAAAAAAATTTGTGCCAGCCCCATAAGTCACTGCGCCATATATTGTCGTGTGTAATATGTAAGGCTATGTCTTGCCAGGACAGATGATTGAGTAATATATATATATATATACACAGGGAGTGCAGAATTATTAGGCAAATTAGTATTTTGACCACATCATCCTCTTTATGCATGTTGTCTTACTCCAAGCTGTATAGGCTCGAAAGCCTACTACCAATTAAGCATATTAGTTGATGTGCATCTCTGTAATGAGAAGGGGTGTGGTCTAATGACATCAACACCCTATATCAGGTGTGCATAATTATTAGGCAACTTCCTTTCCTTTGGCAAAATGGGTCAAAAGAAGGACTTGACAGGCTCAGAAAAGTTAAAAATAGTGAGATATCTCGCAGAGGGATGCAGCACTCTTAAAATTGCAAAGCTTCTGAAGCGTGATCATCGAACAATCAAGCGTTTCATTCAAAATAGTCAACAGGGTCGCAAGAAGCGTGTGGAAAAACCAAGGCGCAAAATAACTGCCCATGAACTGAGAAAAGTCAAGCGTGCAGCTGCCACGATGCCACTTGCCACCAGTTTGGCCATATTTCAGAGCTGCAACATCACTGGAGTGCCTAAAAGCACAAGGTGTGCAATACTCAGAGACATGGCCAAGGTAAGAAAGGCTGAAAGACGACCACCACTGAACAAGACACACAAGCTGAAACGCCAAGACTGGGCCAAGAAATATCTCAAGACTGATTTTTCTAAGGTTTTATGGACTGATGAAATGAGAGTGAGTCTGATGGGCCAGATGGATGGGCCCGTGGCTGGATTGGTAAAGGGCAGAGAGCTCCAGTCCGACTCAGACGCCAGCAAGGTGGAGGTGGAGTACTGGTTTGGGCTGGTATCATCAAAGATGAGCTTGTGGGCCTTTTCGGGTTGAGGATGGAGTCAAGCTCAACTCCCAGTCCTACTGCCAGTTCCTGAAGACACCTTCTTCAAGCAGTGGTACAGGAAGAAGTCTGCATCCTTCAAGAAAAACATGATTTTCATGCAGGACAATGCTCCATCACACGCGTCCAAGTACTCCACAGCGTGGCTGGCAAGAAAGGGTATAAAAGAAGGAAATCTACTGACATGGCCTCCTTGTTCACCTGATCTGAACCCCATTGAGAACCTGTGGTCCATCATCAAATGTGAGATTTACAAGGAGGGAAAACAGTACACCTCTCTGAACAGTGTCTGGGAGGTTGTGGTTGCTGCTGCACGCAATGTTGATGGTGAACAGATCAAAACACTGACAGAATCCATGGATGGCAGGCTTTTGAGTGTCCTTGCAAAGAAAGGTGGCTATATTGGTCACTGATTTGTTTTGTTTTGTTTTTGAATGTCAGAAATGTATATTTGTGAATGTTGAGATGTTATATTGGTTTCACTGGTAATAATAAATAATTGAAATGGGTATATATTTGTTTTTTGTTAAGTTGCCTAATAATTATGCACAGTAATAGTCACCTGCACACACAGATATCCCCCCTAACATAGCTATAACTAAAAACAAACTAAAAACTACTTCCAAAAATATTCAGCTTTGATATTAATGAGTTTTTTGGGTTCATTGAGAACATGGTTGTTGTTCAATAATAAAATTAATCCTCAAAAATATAACTTGCCTAATAATTCTGCACTCCCTGTATATTGCTTTTTCTAATATAAAATATTGGTCCTTTCAGGGTAAAACGTTTAATTATACAGTAAGCATACTCACATGCAGACACAGGCAATTTCACTGACATCTCAATGACACACACAAGCTCATTGATACACAGCCTCATAGACAAACAATCTTACTGATATACATCAGCTCATTTACATAAAAACACAAGCTCACTTACTAGCAGGCACACGCATGCAAGCAAGCTAACTCACTAGCAGACGCACACACACAGCTTAATGTGGTGGTACTGGTGTCTATAGCATTTCCCTACAGGCTTTTCAATGTAAACACTGACTTTTCAGAGTAAAGGCAGTGTTTATATTGCTTCAAAGTGACACTGCTAGTGACAGTCACTCAGACGGTCACCAGAGGTGCTTCCTGTGTTAGTGCACCTACATTCAGGGCCTCCACACTCTGTAGGTGCTGAACGTTCCCCATAGAGATACATTGATTCAATGCATCTCTATGAGGAGATGCTAATTGGAGTGGCGTTTTGCAGCCAATCCTATGGCAAAGCATTGGATTGGCTGAGACCATCAAGCTTGATGATCTCAGCTATAGAGGCAGGGCCAGTCGAGGGAGACCAGCACGCTGCGTGGGGAAAAAAAAAGGTGAGCAAAAACACTATTTTTAAACACACATTTACACCATGACAGACACAGAAACACACATATATCATGGCAGATACACACCCCATGACAGACACACACACACACACACACCATGACAGACCATGACACAGACAGACACACACCATGACACAGACAGACACACACCATGACGGACAGACACACACACACACCATGAATGACAGACAGACACACACACACACCCCATGACGGACAGACAGACACACACACACCCCATGACGGACAGACACACACACACCCCATGACGGACAGAGACACACACA